GAAACAAGTTGTAGAATAATGAATATTAGTCTTGTCATTGATGGATGTTTTTATTGAAAAAAAAAAAAAATTAATAATTATAACGTTACTCACTGAAAATTTTACAATTTTTGATGAGGATACTCAAGTCATCGTAAAAAATATAAAAACAAAATGAATTTGAAAAAAAAGTATCACAAGTTATAAGACAACATATGTATGTTTATACAATTCTATCTATAACTCTCCAGTTCACACGCACTTGACATCACCACAACTGTATAATAAACGGAATAAATCCATCAGCCACGTCCCTTGCGAGTACATGATGCACTGTACAGCACAACATTCCCACCCTCTCTCTCGGTATAACCCTTTTGCTAATTGCCAAACTTGCTCCCTTCTTTGCTCCTTGCTAAGAGATTTAGAAATGCAAAATTAATAAAACACGTTTATTTGAATCACAGTATATAATAATTAAATATAATTACCTACGTATGGATGGAACATCACACTTCAATATCAGGAAAATATCCTGGAATGGCTAAGGAATGCAAGAGCTTGTCCTCTGCGCACGTGCTCAATCAGGAGCAGTAAGAGACGGGGAAAAAATAAAAAACGCAAAGGAGAGAAAACACAGAAACCCCTTGGAAGTATTTTCTGCCTCTGCCCTTGTTTTCCTTACGTGCATTACTAGGAGGGATGGAAAATAACGATCGAAGCCACCGAGGACTGGACCGACTCTCGAGATTCGCGTCGTTTACGACTCTTCTCGTGAGTAAGAGAAAAAAAAAACACAAGAGAAACAAGAGTAATTTACCATTCGCCTGTTTTTATTTTTACGTCACGCCGAGTCTTGGAGAGATGGTGAAAAGTAATGCACGAGAAGCTGCGACGCCTCCGAGAGAATGAAAACGAGGCACTTAGCTAAATGGCCGCCGGTGCATTTATTCCGGTGGAATACAATAGAAAAACGCGTAACTTCTTGTTATGATTTTTTTTTCATCCAATGATTATACTCTGTAAAATATAGGATTTTTCTTGCTCGACTAAAAAAATTTGATTATGGGTTCTGACGTTATTTCGCCCAGCACTAAACGCGTAGTATTAAAGACGTTAACTGTTTCGGGATTGAATTAAAATATTTCAAATGTGCAAAAAAAAACAGTTTTTATGTGGTAGTAGAACAATTTTTTCTATGTTGACTTATTGTGGAGTATTGAAACGACGAGTATTTGTAGGGGATGAAAAGTACCCGATCTTAAACAGTATAAGTAGAAATGCAGTGTTATTTGCAATTTGCTGCCACTAAACAAGTGGCCTACGTAGACGTACAATTGTACCACGCAGCGAAATACAGACAAGAGCTGAGAGAGGGAGCTTTGATGTTTTGCCCCCAAAGGGAATATAGTCCCTTCTTGTACACCCTCTGGTGTCGCGATCCATAATTCATCTGGAGAAACGTCAGCGTCCAAGGACACAAGAAGCGAAGACAAGGGTTAAAGTGCAGGTGGCACGTGTACGTACCGCAAATCGCAGATTATCTTACCCCGTGAAGAAACGACTCGACACGTTGTAAAGTGGGGGCACAAAAAGTTTCCCAGCGTTTGTTTTCAGAACAAGCAGTGGTGGATTTATGGAAGTGTTCTCTTACCCCGAAATTTAAACGAGCATTAATAATGTCACTGAAGCCACGGTGGAGGGAGTAGTTACTATTTTATCACATCATATACGTAAGTACATAATGTAAAATACATCACAATTCCGTTGAAACATGTTTTTTTTTCATCCCTTCCCGAAGCGATGTGAAGCAAACACTTTGGAGACCCTCGATGGTGGTCTCGGAATCTAAAATCAGGGACAGACGCGATGGTAAGGGTAATCCCCATTGGGTTCTCGAAGAGGGGGCAGATTGGGGGCTAGAAAAAAAAGGCGATTACTATGACAGTTTTTCGTGGGGTCAAAGGTTGGAAGGACATTTTGGGCGCAAAAGTGGCCCTTGGACTCGTCGGCTATGGTGTTTTGGGCGATAAATTGAGGCTTTTCAATCACTGGACAAAAAAGTAAACAAACAGTTTTAGCTTGTGTATTTATAATTAATCCTAAAAAGAGAGCTCAAACTCGAAGCTGTAACTGAGTTAAAAAATGAGCTAGTCCAGCTCGTAGACAATGAGCGCATTACGTAAAAAATAAGGCGGTAAAAAAAATCCAAGCAATTGTTGAAAAAGAAACCTCTGCTGTGCTTTCTTCGTAGCACCGACTATAATAGACGGAGCTCGACTCTTTTGTACGCGATACAATGACTTGGAAAGTAGACTTTACTCGGAGATTTCAAAGAAAAGTGGATTAAAAATGAATGCACCAATGTTGAAATAAACACGCATTGTTTTCGAAATATTTCAATGGTACAGGAATATCTGAACAAGATTTACACCCAACGAACTCAAAAATAAAGACAAATACATGTTTCCAATATTTTCTTCGGTGTCAAATAGTAAAAACAAAAGACAAAGATCCAAAAGAGATGGGTACAGAGCAGCAGCTTCACTCACCTCTCAGGAAATATGTAATTTACGAATTCACTGATCCGAAAAATCCGTTGTGCCAACATCACGAGGTCGTGTGTGTATCATGTACCTACTTGCGAGTATACACAATACTTTTTACGTATAAGATTTTCGAAGGATTTCGTGTGTATAAAATCTTATGTAGATAAATATGCGTGGTCGCGTATCACATGCATAAATGTATGAGAGAAGAAGAAGTAGATTAAGTCCTGAGAGCATCCGCGACGAGCTGCGAATTTATGTTTTCAATATCTCGCGATTACTTCCTTCTATGGGGGTGGGTTTAATTTTTCTATACCAAAAAGGGGGAGATGAAGGTTTAGCATTTGCTTAGGAAGGCCAGGAGGACGTGTATGTTCGTATCCCTCTATCTGTCGGATGTGGGGCTTACAGCCCAATTTTGGGGAAAATTTAATTCCTTGGTTGTTTCGAGAGCGTCGCAGTGGGAATAGAATAAATATATGTGGAACACAGCAATGAGGCTTTTGTTTGTGTTTTTTCAGCACAGGGATATTATTTTTTGTCCGTTTCGTTTTACTTTTTATCTTTCCTCGGGTGCAGTACTGTAGTGTATTAAACGGACGATGGAAAACAGGGCGAGATTAAAAATTTTACGACTTTCGTGAGAATACCGAGTGGAAAATGGGTTTCAGGGCGAAGCGAAAAGTAATTACTTGCAGGATATATAAGCGGTATAAGTAAATTTTTTCTCATTTTATTATTTTTCCTCTCGCTTGTACCCCTAATACACACCAACATAATGTAGAACAATATTTTCGTGTCATTCTGCAATACTCAAATAAAAAAATAGTCAAGTTGAAAAGAGCTACGTATTATTTTGATCACTTACATAAAGAAAAAATAAAAGAATGAATATATAATTATTTCACAAGGTTGCAAAAAAAAATGATCAAACCAGGGCTTCAATTGTCGAAAACAGTGTCCTTGGCGAAAAGCCAAAGGTAAAGAAAAAAAAATAACTGATGACGGCGACACCATAGCAAAAATTCCCTTAGTCCTCGCAATTGCACGTCGAGTTGCCAAAAATTCCGCTTGACCGACATCGCAGAGGATAAAAGAAGCTCTGCTCACTTTTCCAAAAAAAGTAGAAACATACCTCTTCGTCGTGAAAGCGAACACGCGTTTAACAAACGAACCCCCCATGGGCTCGAAAAATTAGAAACTCCCAGCTGCCACGTATGGAGAAAACCTACATAATATGTTTCAAGGAAAAAAAATGAAATTACTTTTTTTCCAGAATAAAAATGCAGTATTGATTTTCAATATTCAATCAACAGCCATGTATGGGTAAAGTGGGCTGGGAAAAGTAGCGATACCATCAGCTTTAAGAAATAAAAAATCAGCAACCCGAAGCACCCGTGTACTATCGGCTGATGGCGAAATCAATTTACTTATATATCGTGATTTCAAAAGATAATCTGCGTTGTTGGAAAAATTGATTGCTATTGTTTCTCTTGAAAATATTTAATTTACGTAATCTAAACGTTCTTTGTTTTCTATCGAATATGACATTTTTGTATCCGTTGGTGACAATATGAAAATTATACAAAAAAATGAGAATATTTATAATTATTAACAAAGACCTAAGAAAAACTTCTCAAGTATTTTTCTCTGCTTTTCTTTAGTTCGTATTA